AAACATTCTCAGCCTGTGCAAGAGGAGGGTGTGGAAATGGTGTGAGTGCTACACCCATCATGGGGGAGTGGTAACCTGTTTATAATGCAAAGGAGAAGTTTGTTCTTCCCTCCTTTTGCTGTTGACCTTGAAAATTGCTACTATTTCAAGTTTTTGTTTCCTCGTGTCATAGGGAAACCGTGACCTTTTATTAATTCAGCAAATATTTATTATGCTTCAGTGAAATAAACTGGACTCTTACGTGCATGGTTTCCCTAGTGTGAGAACTGGAAATGTAAATTAAGGCCAAAATGTACAATATATATTGTGAAATAGGAAGAAATTATTCAAAAAGAAAGAAGAACTAGGGTGGGGGAATAATGAAAGGAACAAAAGAAAAAGGGAAAAAATTTTTAAAAAGGGTAAAATGGAAACCAAACTTTGTAAATGGGGAGAGGAAGATGAGTTGAAGGGAGAAGAGGATATTGGGAAAAATAGAGAAATCAAAATATATCACATACAGGTACAAATTCCTTATGACGATTATGATCATAATATATATTTAAAATGTACCAGTAAGTCTAATCATATTTTAAAAACCCAGATATTTATTGAGCTCCTTTTTGTGTCCCCAAATTCTTCAATACTGTGTCTCTTCTTGAATATGGGTGTCTGATCAGTAGGGAATATCAGGGATGATGCTGAGCCACTACCTAGTCATATTTGAAGAAATGTTCATTCTCTACTTCCTTTGGGGAACTGAGTCTTAGAATCTACTCATTATGCTACGAGGAAGCCTAAGCAGCCAGTGGAGCAACTCTCATGAAGAGGAAACACCACTGCTGTCCAAAGTCCAAGATGAGCTCTCAGCAGACCTCAACTTATTAGCCAAGTGAGTGAGAATCTTGAAAGTAAATATTTTAGCCTGCCATCAAGCCACCACTGCTGAGGCCACATGGGATAGAGATGATCTTTTAATGATATATCTATTTTAATTTACTTCATGTATCTTTTAGAATAGATGTGCAAAAAAATAATGCAAGCCACATACATAATTTTACATATTGTAGTAGTTACTTTACAAAAATAAATTAATAAAACCATACAGGTGAAGTTAATTTGAGAGAAATTCAATTTATTTTATTAAATCACAAATGTTGCATTTCAACATGCAACAAAGATAAAAATTATTTGAGATGTTTTTATATTTTTTTTTCATACTGCATGCTTGAAATATAGGATGATGACTTTTGTACTCATAAATCCTAACACATATGTTTTAATTATAATCAGTGCAGACTAGCTAGATTTCAAGGGTTTATTAGCTCTTTGTGGATAATGACTACTACACTGGAAAGTGTAGGCTTAGAATGATAGGGTCAGACTGCACTATTTTACAGAGGAGGAAAATTAGGTAAAAAGAGAGGAAGCAACTTGCTCTGAATTATGCACTGCAATTGTTTGAAATGACCTCCCTCCCCATATGCCCATGTCCTAACTCCTGGGACCTTTGTTATTTTATTTGTAAAACAAACAAACAAACAAACAAAAAAAGAGAAAGTCTTTGCAGATGTAACCAAATTAAGGATCTTGAGATGAAGAGATTATCTCAGATTATCTAGTCAAGCCCTACATCCAATGACCAATGTTCTTATAAAACATAGGAAAATCTAGGCAGAAGAGGAGGAGATTCACACAGAGAAGACGATGTAGATAAAGATCAGAGAGACATGACTACAAGTCAAGGAAGAAATGCTGACAGCCACTAGAAGGTGGAAAAGACAAGGAAGGGGTGGGTCTTTATTAAAGCCTCTGGAGGGAGAAAGGTCCCAATGACACGTGGAAATTCAGAGATTCTACCTGCCAGAACTCAGGCAATATATTTTGCTTTTTTTAGTTACTCAGTCTTGTAATAATTTTGTGGGGCTTTTTTTGGGGGCAGCCACAGGAAATAAATATATACATCAAGTGTGAAATCTGGACTGAAAAGACCTTGCACTACATTTCCAGCTAAAGCAACCTGCTTCATCACTGTCTCTGAGGTTTTTCAAGTGGCCAGCATTCATTTCTTTGTGAACAGAATGGACCAGGTGGGGACTCTGGAAACTTGATGGGCCCATGTCAACATACAGGAAACTGCTGCCCTGAAGCTTCATGTGGCACCACGTTACATGGTCTTCATCTCTCACCTCATCTGCTCAAATGGCTGCTCTCTCTGCTTCTCTTTTTTTTTCTTTCATAACCTACTTCCCATGTTGTAGACAACCTAATTCTAAAATACAGGTACACACTGGGACAATTCTCTGTTCCCAACCTCCAATGATTTCTATTCAAAAGAATGAAAGGCAAACTCCTGGTCACATTTACAAATGTGGACTCTGCTACCTCCTTTACCTTGTGTTATATCTATTCCAACCAGAAGCCTCCTTGCTGTTTCTCCATCTTGAAGAGGTTTTTTTTTTTTTTTTTTTTTTTTTTTTTTTTTTTTTTTGGTACCAGGGATCAAACTCACCACCTCATGCTTTCAAGGCAGGTGCTTACACTGCTGAGCTAAACCCCGGCCCAAGGCATGTTTTTTAAATTTGCTGTTTTCTTTCTGAAATACTCTACCTGGTGGCCTTTCCCTTCACTTTATTCAGGTCTTTGAGCAGATGTCGCTAATGATAAAAGTTTTTCTCAGACATTCTTTTTTGCAGTACTTTAATATTCTTTACAGAATAAATCTCCATACCACCTAGTATAGGTTTATTGGACAGTTAGGTTGTTGTTCATCATCCTCTCCTGTAAATTCCATGAGAAAAGGGACTCTTGTCTGGTTTACTTAATGGGTTTATTTTATTTATAGCAGGTGTGCAATAAATATTTGTTCAGTGAATGAATGAATACACAAATGAGTGAGTTCAGGAATGCAAGTTTCACTGGGTCCTACTTTTTGTTTTTCCCTAGAGAAGTTAGAATTTGGATATTTAGGTAAAGTTCTTATAACAGGTGAACTAAAAAAAAGAAATCACTGGACTGGCTAAAAACTGGCATCTGAGAGTCACAACTACAACGTTCCAATGTACAGGAATGTGGGTCAGATGGAAACCTGGATCTTGATCCTCAGATAGCTCAGACCCTGCAGGAACTGCATAGATTTTTGCAGTTCTCAGCCCTTGAAAACCTAAGTCCAATAGCCCTGAGGTACTGTTTGTTGTTACAGACCTAAGTCACCCAGGGCACTTCGTTCAAAAGGCAGGATGTGGGCTGTGAACTTCCAGCTCATGGGTTCAAAGGAAATGTATTTCAGCAGCAACGTCTCTTGGGATGTTTCCCCAAGCCTCCCTGGGAGGTGGTGGGCCTCTTAAAGGACTAATAATAGACAGGCACATCCAGTTTCCCAAAACATGTGTATCTTAAAAGTAAATGCTATTTTTTCTTTGTTACCTTTGAATTACTATGTAGGAGAAGGACATTCTATTATTGTAGCCATGGATCTCCACATGCTACCTAATAATGATTTACCACTCAGTAGCTTCCAAGCAAAAATAGTCATAGTGGGACCCAAGCTCTACCACTACTCAGGTTCACCCCTTTGTTATCTTTGTGCTTTGTAGTTGGGGCTGACCAATGACTGCTCATTCCACAATACTGAATATCTTAATCACTCAGAGCCTCCCTATCCCTATCCGTAGAGAAACTTAACCAAATCTATGCAAGTTGTTGTGACTAAAGACAGCACAAGTACCCACTTAACAAACACTTGATGTTGATTGCTTTTGAACATCCACTGGGCAAGGGTCAGGGTAAAGTGTCATTGCTATTTAAATCTTCATTCACGAGTTCACCCACTCAGTCACCCAATATTTATTCGGCTCTTCCTTAGGAGATACCAGGCACCGAACTTGACACATTGGGATATGAGGGTCAGCAGCTCCTTGCTATCATACTAAGTGAAGAAGTTAAGGAGTTCATTGTCCAGCGCAGTGCTTCATTTCTGAGTTCAGGGCATGATGGAGGGCTGTAGATACAGTGCATGGATGGACCTTAGCACCGAGTTACACAATTAGACAATTATTATCACTTAGTCACCTTCCCACCCTTCAGATTGCATCAAGGAGAGTATCCCTGTTGGATATTCATGAGTCTTGAACATATCTCTGCAACATTTGCTAATATCTCTTACCAAATACAAGAAGGCTTCAGTCTCAGATGTTCTGGTCAGATGACAGTACCTGGAGACACTGTAATATAAAAGATGCTTCTTGCTGTTCAAACTCAGATCAACCCACATAGTGCAAAAATAGAACCACCGTTTGCGAAGGCGAGTTGGAAGTGAATGAAATTTTTGGAAAATACTGATTATTAAAATTTTCCCTCTCCGTATAAGCCTTACTTTATAGTTGCGGAAATTAGGTCTTTGTGGAGGGCATGAACAGAAGGTAGAGAGTTCTCTTCTGAGTGTTCAAGCAAACAACGCCAAGAATCTTCTGTATGGTGGACTTGGACACATATGAAATAAAGACTGCGCCTCCCCTACCTCTGCAGAATGTGTGCATGTATGTGTAAGTGTGTGGAGCCACAGGCCTTTCCGGATGAGTGACAGCAAGAGCCCATCCCTTCAAGACACGCATGCAGAATGACCAATGGGGTGGATGGGGAGTGTGTGGATGGGTACCAGTCTCCGCAGAGGCCAGGGTGCAATCCACTGCGCCCAACCCTTTCAACCTCAACCTTTAATCCTCGTAGGTCCTTTCGCTCTGGAAACACCTAGGGAGTGGTGAGGGGGAGGATCCGAGGTGCTCATTTCCTTAAAGCAAGCCGGGCGGGCGGAGGACGGGGTGTGGGGGCAAGCTCGGGTCTGCAGAACGCAGGCTGCGCTGTCCTCGCGCCGCAGCGCTGCGGCTGAGCACACTCCGCTGGGAGGCCCACAGCCACGGGGGTGCGAATATGTAAAGCAGCTGGCGGCTTGGGCGGAGCCTGGGCGCGATGCAAATGAGGAAGGCGTGGCCTTTCCGCGGCTCCGCCTCCCTCCCCCGCAGCTGGGGCCAGCGGTGCCAAGCGCAGCTGGACCCGCGGCCGCAGCTGGGCGAGTGACAGCCGGGCTCAGCGCAGAGCCGGCGCAGGGGAAGCGCCCGCGGGCCCGGGCGGCGGCAGCGACCGGCTCCTCCCGCGCCTTCCGGGCCGGCAGCCGGCGGTCCCGCGGCCCCGGGGCCCGCACCTCTCGGGCTCCCGCTCCCCGCGCGCAAGATGGCTGACCCGGCTGCGGGGCCGCCGCCGAGCGAGGGCGAGGAGAGCACCGTGCGCTTCGCCCGCAAAGGCGCCCTCCGGCAAAAGAACGTGCACGAGGTGAAGAACCACAAATTCACCGCCCGCTTCTTCAAGCAGCCCACCTTCTGCAGCCACTGCACCGACTTCATCTGGTGAGAGCGCGCGCCCCGGCACGCAGGGCACCTTCCCGGGGCCCCGAGGGCTGCGCGCGCGGGGACCCCCAGCCTCGCCCCTCCTTCCCTGCTCGCAGATCCACCCCGCCTCCCCGGCGCCCCGGAGGGCAGTCCCGCAGGTGCCCTGTCCTCCTGGCCCCAGACGGCCGGCTGCGGGGCGCCCCTGCCCTCTCTCGCTCCTTGTGGCTTCCGGAGCGCCCAGGGGCAGCGACGCGGGTGCCTCTGCTCCACCTGGCTCGGAGTTCAGGGGTCCGTCCCTTCTCCGCCGGCAGCGCCTCGGGTGCCCTCTGGCCCGGAGTTCCCTATCTCTCTGCCTTCTTCCGGGCGGGAGGCGCCCTCATCCCCACCTTTGCTTTCCGGGGGCAGCGCCCCTGGGTGTCCTTTCTCTATCTCCTTGCGGGCGTGGGGCATCCTTTCCTCCTATGTCTCTGGGTTAGCGCCCTGTGTTACATCTTACTGCGCCTCCGAGGGCCTGAGTTCCCCTTCCCGCTCCTGAGTCCTCCTCACGTCACTGCGGGACCCCTTCTTCCTCTTGACCCTCCAGGGGTAGAGTGTCCTTTATCCCTTCCCAGTCTCCCCAAGGGACACCGCCGCGGAGGGGGTTGTCACTACTTACCTTTATGTCCCCCCCCCTCCCCGCCCGAGGATACTTGGGGCACCTCCATGGGCAGATCCCCAGTCTGCCTTCCGCCCCCACCCGACGGAAATGCTCCTCCCTATCCCGCCGCCTGGTGGTCGCAGTTTCCTTTCTCCTGCCTGGGTGACTCGCGGTGGGGGTTACCGCTGAGCTCCACCAACCCGCTCCTCCCCCTGCACCCCCAAAGCGGAAGACTCTTGGGCACCCGCCTGCAGCTAAGAGATTGCACCTGGGAAAGAGGGCCCATGGAAGGGGGGTGACTTTGTGGGGGAGTTGGCTAGTGGCTGGGCCCCTCAGACTGACTCGCCTCTTTCTGTTCTTTCAGGGGCTTTGGCAAGCAGGGTTTCCAGTGTCAAGGTACGTCTGGGGCTCTGGGATTCTGCTGTTTGTGAGCAGAGAGAGTGAAAAAGACTTTATAGAAGTGACCAAGTTAGACAGAAGGGAGGAATCCTGTCTGTCTCAGTGACCTCCCAGGCGTCCAGGAATTCATCCTCAAAGGGTCCTTTTAAGGATTGTGTGTTTATGCTCCTTCCAGGAAGTGCTGGTGAAGCCCAGGAACCCTGAATGTCACAGAGGTGCAGCAGAGGTTCATCCCTTCTAACTTCTTGGCACTGGAAGAGTTATCAGGGAAGAGTTACCAGGGCTCTCCTGAACCCCTCCTGGCATGGTTATTGCTGCTTTTTGAGGAGGTGTCTTCAAAGACCCTTTCTGGGCGGACCCTTTCTCCCTAATTCTTGCTGCTTCCTGTGCCCTGTACCCTTCCTCCATCAGAGTGAGGTTTTTACCTCTTTCCCTGCTTTACTGAGAGGTCCCAGCAGGTGGTTGCTTCCCCTGCAGATGGTGCATCCCCCAGAAAAGCAACTGTGGTCTCCCCTGGGCCTCCTCCCTCTCTACAGAAGTGGTTCCAGATGGGGTGCTTCTCAGATCCTGGTTTAAACTGCCCTTTCTGTCTTCTGGGTAGATATAAGAACTCCAAGTGACTGATTACCTGTGTGTCTTTAACTCTCACCAGGGATCCTCAGTGTGACATTTAGTAGGTCTAAAGTGGCTTCAGCTGTCTCTGTTGATTTTTTAAATTTATATTTTTAATGTTTTAGACAAGGTTTTGCTATGTTGCCTAGACTGAACTTGAACTCCTGGTTCAAGAGATCCTCCTGCCTCAGTCTTCTAGTTACTAGTGCTACAGGCAAGAACCAACATGCCTGACTCAGGGGCTAATGTCTAAAAATGGGTGGCAAATTGATTCTCCAAAGCTTAACATTTGCAGACTTGTTTAACCCCTAGAATGTCGTAAGCGTATTGTGAGTTTAATGTTAACATTTTAGAACTGAGAGATTTTATATACATCTCTGAATTTGCAACTTCAGCTGATGAAAAAGGGCTCTACTTTCACATTAGAGCAGTTGCTTGGAACCAACAGGACATCTGTTTTCATAGACAGGACACACATTCACTATATTGTCTCCATCCTTCACTCTGACCTGCTTCACCTGTATCTGTCCCATGCAGGCATTTAGATTTGCAACCTCTAGCTTGGAAAGTGTGTGTGTGTGTGTGTGTGTGTTCCTCCCATTTTTAGCCCAGGTGCAGTTGTGTTTGGTGAGAATTATGTCTTGGGGACAAATGGACCGACCACCTTGACAAGCTGGGTTTATATTAGAAGAAGAAAGCATTTGAGCCCTGAGGAGTCTGAACTGTGAATTAACACTTACTGATACTTTTGTTGTTGTGATGCCCTCTGGCCCGGAGTTCCCTATCTCCAGGGAAAAGTAAGGAGATCCCCCAGGAAAAGAGGCTAAGTGGAGCCAGCCTTGAGAATTGTGTGAGTGGTGGCCCACAGGATGTCACCCCTCAGGCTCTTGTCTGAGATCTGGGTCAGGGTGGTTTTAGTTAAAGAGCCTTCTACACCTTTCCAGCATCTCTTGTCAAGACCTGGAGCCTCAATTGCATGCATCACACCAGGAGACCTGTCTCCAGATCCTTTTTAAAGTGGCAACATTTTAGGCCCTGGTGGAAACAGCATAGATCATTTTCTAGAACTTTGACCTCTCAAAATCAATGGCATCTTGGTGCCAGAATGTATAATTTCTTCTCTGAGGTTGTCTTTCAATTCCATGAGTCTGTTTCTATGTTTGTCTCTTGCTGAGGTCAAAAATGATTTTTAAACATTTTTGCTTCTAACCTCTGTGCCACACCCTCTACTATTACTGATGGCTTTGAAAACCACGTTGAAATATGCCAGGGATAACACAATTGAAGCAAGAGTTCCTTTTATTCAAAACCTGGAAATGATTGTAATTTTCTGATATAATGAGAAAACATTGAAATACGTACACATTAGAGATATGAGTGCCCCCCCCCCGTGTATATGTGTGTTTTAAAAATAACCTTTCTTTCTCTCCACCTTTGGAAAAGCATAGCGTAATGGACATGTTTACAAACTACTAGGTACATCACTGTGGGTTTGAATCCTCACTTTGAGGCTTCCTACTTATATTTCTTAGCATTTCTGTATCTCAGCTCCTTATCTATAAAATGGGGCCAATAATAGTATACCTTAAAGTTGCAGAGCAGCTCTAAGTCATTGGAATATCTAAGATCCTTGGATCAGAGCTTGGCATAGTTACCCTATGCCACTCAGAAAATTTAGGGTCTTGTGATTGTCCCCAAACTACTCCATCGTGGGGCAGCTGTGTATGAGAAGACAGGCCATGCAGAATTGCTTTGCTATGGAGATGGCTGCAGGTGGGAGTAAAAATCCAATTGTGAACATCTGGTCATCTTATATCTTTGCTTGGACTGTATATATCATTTGTATTAGAGCAAGGGGGAGAAGAAAAGTCCTTGGAATTGAGATGCTTAGGATGTAGAGCATCAGGAGGGAGGGAAGTCTATCCCTGGAACTCAGCATGCCCAGGACTAATTTTGGAATCTTGGGGCTTCTTATTATATGATCATTTTTTTTTTTGCACCAAGTATTTCTTCTTAAAGTGAAGCTATTTGACATAGGATTAGCACTGTTACAGAAAATGCGAAAGGCTGTATTCTCTTACGTAAGTCAGCATCCCAGAGCTCAGTTTCTTTTGCTCTTCTCAGATTTCTGCCCTACTATCCTTAGGGAGAGATAATTAACTCGTGGTCCAAGAAGGATACTGGACTCTTTAGACATCACATCCTTCTTTCAGTCAGCAGGAATCAGAAGCAAAGCAAAGCAAAACAAAGGACACATGCTCAGCATCACTTAAGGAAATTGTCTTTAGATACTTCAGCCTGCATCCTGTTAGCTAGAGCTTAAGCATGGAGCAACACCTTGCTGCAGGAGATCATGTAGGGAAATGTTAATTTCAGGTAGCCGACCGCTCCCACCAAGAGCTGGTGGAGGGGTGTTTCCACTTCAAAAGAGAAGCAAGCAGCGAGAGGCACAACCCGTGTTTCTTTACCCGTGTGTGTAGAATGATCCTAAGGCAAGGGAGTTCGCTGAGAGCTGCCCTTGTGCGTCACTACACTGCCATGGAAATCGGGGATCCTGGTGTGGCTTGGGAGAAGGAGGATGGAAAGTCCATAAACCACTGGAAATTATGGATTTTTCTGTGCTCAGGGGAGCTTAAGAATAGATTTTCTTTTCTTTGTGCTGCTTGAGGACAATACTCTAGGTTGACTGCCACATAATTTCTCCCTTTTTGTTTCTACTTTGATTTTAATAAAACTGCTTTCTGTGAGGTAGTTTCAAATGCCTCTGGTGACAGAGAGCTGAAGCTGTGGATCCTTTTTGTGAAATCACCTAAATTCTGGATAGAAACAGAACGCCTTATTCAAGCAAGGGAGTCCTGTCTTTCTGACATTCATTGGAGGAGCCATTTTTGTTCTAACTATAATTGAGGCAGATCTTTGAATGGAGTTCACTTATTGCTCTAAGAGGACTTTGCAGTTAGGCAGGGGAAACAAAAGGTTTTTTTTTTAAAGTCATTTCAGCATAAACAGACATTAAAATACAGAGATTCATGATTCATAGCATGGAAACTGGGGATGGTAATACACGACTGTAATCCCAAGCACTCTGGAAACTGAGGCAGGAGGATCTCAAGTTTGAACCCAACCTGGGCAACTCAGCCATTTAGATCTTGTTTTAAGATAAAAAATTAAAAAAGGACTAGTGTTGTAACTTAGTGAGAAAACCCTTGATTCAATCCATACTATTGCAAAAAAAGAAAAAAAATCATAGTGTGGGATTGGAGTCGGGAAGGATGGGGCTCTAATCTCTGATCTGCCACATACTCACTGAGTATCCTTGGGAGAATCATCATCCTGTTGTAGCCTTAGTCTCCACATCTGTAAAATGGTGATCCATGCATCTACTTTACAGAGTTATGGTGCAGAGTAATCAGGTAGTGTGAGAAAAATATCTACAGTGTGTGTCAAGTAATGAGACAATCAAGTCAAAGTGGGACAGAGTTAATTCTGGAACTCATTAAATGACTATGTCTGTTTCATGTCCTTAGATGGGTTTTCTTAGTTATGTTTCTGCTTAAGCATTGGGTAACACCAGTGAGTACATGGTTTAGTGTCTGGACTCAGCGAGCTAGGCTTGGTTAACATCATTTTTCTTTGTGAGAAAAATCTGAACTTGCCATAGACTCTAAAAAAACCCCAGGGCACTAATTTTCTGACTATGAAGAGCATAAATCAGCCTTTCTCTTTTCCTGTGTAAATTCAAAAACATGTTTTTTAACCTTCTGAGTGAAATTATTAAAAAAAAAAACAACACAAAGTATCACGCACAAAAAATCTTTTTAAAATTATTTTCAACAATACCAATCTGATAGGTTTATTTTACTGTGTTGTTAACACATTCAGATTAAATATATGCCATAAAAAGTGAATCAGTATTGGGAGTATAGCTCAGTGGCAGAACACTAGGCTAGCATGCACAAGGCCGGGGGTTCAATCTCTAGCACAACAAAAACAAGAAAGAAAAAGAACAAGAAAAAAGACACAATTACAGAAAGAATAAAAGATGAAAGAAAACTAATCAAAGGTTAATTTTATTTTTGGCATAGTTTTCCCCATGAATTTATAATGGGGCACTATGCACTTTAACTTGAACTTTCTCAGTAAAATCATAAATAGAGCCATTTTGTAAAAATATCACCAAGACAGGTTGCATATTCCTGTGGATTCTGGAGGTGGATTCTGTTGTTCCTGCCCTTTCTAAAAGTAGATCCCAGAGTCCTGTGAGCAAACCCTGTTTACTTTTTGGTTTATTTTGAAGGAGGAGGGTGTTGCAATGTGGATATAAGAAGAGAAGCTTTTTGACTTTGATTGTTTGATTCTTTTCATTTTTTTCACTTAAACTGGGA